CACGTTCCTGAGCATCAAGATCGGAAGCAATGGCCAAGAAATCAGAGTGAGTATATGGTTCCCGACGGTAGGCTTGTAGGCAGATGTTAGTATATATATATATATATCGTCAAATAGAACTGCCCGGTAATATATATATATATATATATATTGGCTTTAGGGATAGGCTAATTGGGGTAAATGATATCCGAATTGTGAGGTGAGAACTACATGGGGAGGTGGAGGTGGAGGTGGTTAAACCATGCAGGTCCTATTCCACTCTCTCCTCTTCCTCCGTATGCTTGTGGGCGTCTGCATTGCAGATAGTGAAATCGGCCTGCGAGGGGAGGTTGGGTTGGGCCCCTTGATCATGACCGTTGGGGTTGGGTTGGGGACAACGTCCCTGTACACACTGCACAGCAATCGCAATTCATGACACTCGTAGGTGGAAGAAAATCACCATCCACCATGACAGGGAAAAAACAAGGATCAACAGAAAGCTTGTTACGGCTTCTCCTTTCTCTAAATGATTAAAAAAAAAAAAACAGTGGTCAAGAAAATGTGCACTATATGCAAGCAAATTACTAGAAGAGAAGGAATCCGTGGCGAAGGAAGCCATCTGGGAATCCTATTGCCAGCTCTGGCAGGACCCGTCCAAATTGTTTCCTGAATTGGATGTCGCCTACAACATTCGATGGAAGCCGTGGAGAACATTGGAACCATCCTGGCAAGGAAAACTCTTAAGTGACTTCGAAGTCCCCTTCCTCCCGACTAACTTCGTATTGGTGCCTGATCTTCAGCCCGCTCCCCCCGTCTCCCCAGCCGCTGCCCCTACTCCTGCCCCTCCCCCCCCTGCTGCCCCTCCCCCCGCCGCCTCCCCTTCACTTCCCCCTTCACCCGCCCTTCCCTTCCAACCCTTCTTCATCCCCCTTCACCTCAACTTCCGCCCGGCCCCCCGCAGCTCGTCCGCCCCACAGCAGCATCAGCGGTAGAGGCGCGGGAGAATGACTGGAATGGAGGGTACTGGCAAGAAGGTGATCAACTACGAAGGAACTCTGGCTTCATGATACAAAATGACATGAGACAAATGGTTGCAGCAGCCACAATATGATAAGACCCCAGTGGACCCGATACTTCATAAAGGTCCAAGTGCCAGCCCGGGGAAGACGCTAATTACTTCACAATCACTGGTGCCGGCCTGCCTTCAGGCTGAAGAGGCGTTTCCTCCATAAAATGTACAGGATCTCTACGACAGGTTTACCAGGGGGTTGCAGACACCAAGGGTGGGAGTTTAGCCATTACCGGCAGGAGGAGAGTAGACATTGAAGCACGGCGGACACCACCCTAGGTGGGGCTAGGCCAGTGGGAAGTAGGAGCTTTGCAAATTGGAAGGGTAACATACGCAGCCCTGGGGGAGAGAAGAAAGCTCAGGAACAACAACTCTAATGGCCATATGCCCAACAAACACTGTACCACAAAGATGTATCCAAGGGACGCTGGACCCGATTTCCGGCAGGTGCTGCTCCCCACCAATAGATGGAGCCTCCGCGACAGTGCTAGATGTGTCTGCTCTTATCAGCACACCTAGCATCCGATCGGGTTGCTTTCAAAAAAAAAAAAAAGGAAAAAAAGAAAAAAAAACTAGATCCACATGACACAGATGGAGCAGAGGTCAAGAAAATTATTAGACGGCCTTTCTGCCTCTTGTCCATTTCTATCCCATTTTATAATGTGCACTACATGCAAGAGTATGTATGCTACTATGCATGCATGCATGCATGCATTGCAACCAAGAATTGTAACTTTTCTTCAGCAGCTGACATTGGGCCTTGATCCACTACTCTGCACATGCACAAAAGACAAAAAAATATGGCGCAGTCTTTTTCCATGGGTTCTTTCTTTTTTCTTTTTTTTTTTGAACAGAAATACCTCCCGCAAAAACAGGTCTTCTAACGGAAGATTCAGCCTCATTTTGCATATTCGGAGAGGAGTGGAGCGAAGCCCATCGGCAAAATCTATTCTCTCGCATACTGTGGCATGCTATCGACAAAGCAGCACTCTCCCATGCTCCACAATATGCATGTCGATAGCACTCTCCCCTGCTCCACAATATGCACTTGACTTGAGTCAAATCCGCCCCTTTGCCAACAGACAAGCCTACCGTCTTCACCCGAATAGAACGCCCGGTCATTATAGCCGTATTTGGTGCACGTTTCAGTCCAGATTAGGCTATAATAACCGGGCGTTCTATTCGGGTGAAGACGGTAGGAGGGGGGGGGCAGACTGCAATCGGAGCCCAGTGGAGTGCTATCGACAAAGCGACATTCTCCCATGCTCCGCAATGTGCAGTCGACCCAATCCACCCCACTGCTAACAGACAAGTGTAGAAGGGGTCAGACTGCAAAATCCGAGCCCGGCTGCACGCTACTGACAAGGCGGCGCTCTCCCGTGTTCCATAATGTGCAATTGAATCGAATGCACCCCACCCCATCGCGAACAGACGAATCTAGGAGGGGGCTTCATGCTATCGAGTAGTAGTGACAAAGTGGCTCTCTCCCACGCTCGGCAATGTGCAGTCGAATCGAACTCACCGCATTGCCAACAGACAAGTCTAGGAGGGGGCAGACTGCAATCGGAGCCCAGCTGCACGCTACCTGTTCCGATAAGAAAAAAGTGCATCCCAGCTGAGCCATAGATGATCCTCCCTTGGGGGGGGGGGAGGCTGTCGGTTCCTTCACAACATGAAAACTCGATAATCAAAACAACGTAGCTTAGAGTCTTAGACGAGTACACCTCGCAGCGTAAACCGCATAATTGAAACAGCATGGCGACGATAACACGCACACCAGACCACCTCCCTCTACTGCTCCTTCACAAGACTGTGCTCAACAGGGAAGTGGCCGCCACGATGTGTTATACGATGGGCTCTGCAGCGAAGTGAACATGGTGATCGAAGAAGGAGACAATAAAACACATTTGAAGTTTCAACATGACGAAACTGCTGACGAGATCGAAAAAATCCACAAGACAGTGCTTCCTTGCTTGACTTGTGGTCTGAGCTTGCTTACCATGGAAGAGCACACAAATCGAAGAGACTTAGAGAAGGCAATCCCCCACCTGGCCCTCAGCTATCAGCATAACCTCACCAGACAGAGTAACAAAACCACCTCCATCTTCTTCCCCTTCCCTTAAGCATTTTGCATTTGCTTGTCCCTTGAGAGTATGGTCTGAAAATTTATCGCACCAGACAGCGAAACAAAATCACCTCCATCTCTTCCTCCTTCCCCTCCCCATATTTGATTGCCATTTAGGATGATGCTCAGGAGGTTTATTAAATAGAGAGCATTCGAGTGCCCTTACGTCTTCTTCTCCTCCTCCCTCCACCTAACTCTCTCTCTCTCCACGCCCTGCTCTTACTACACCCCCTCCTCCTCCAACGGCCGCCTTCATTCCAAATCCAAAATCGACAACACACCCAAACCTATGTGACACCCAAATGAGGAGTACAGGACCAAATGAGAAGTACAGGACCTAATGAGGAGTACAGGACCAAATGAGGAGTACAGGACCTAATGAGGAGTACAGGACCTAATGACGCTTCCAATGTTTTCTCTCCTAAATAATGGGTGTGAGCGGGGGTGTGAGGTGATGATGAGCTGCTTCTGCATCCACCTTTTTTTTTTCTTTTTTCTTTTTTTTGGCAAGCTGCAGCCTTTTACAAGCAACTCTCAGAAAACACTATGGCACATCATGGCAGTAAGTTTTTTTTTTTTCTTTTTTTTTTTTTAATAAGGGATGGGCGCGTAAGGTACTGTGCAGTTGAATTGCACAGGATCACTTGCAGATGTGCCCCTCTGCATGCAACGCAAACCTGTGGCATACAGTACAGGTAAGAGTATGTCCAATAGACTCCATGGGCCATCATATCACAACTGCAAGCAATACGCCGCCACAAATGAAATGAAATGGTCAGGGTATGTGAAACAGAGGCCTTGGCCACCAAGGAAACGAGAACGAACCTTTACTCCGGTGACTCTTCCGCTGCCCCCACACTCTAAGATTGGCGAAGTAGTCCTGATTGCAATGACTGGGCAGCTGTCTTGAGAGCTGAAGAAGCAGAAGGGTTGTAACTACTCTGTGGCACCTCAGTGGATTCTCACACTTGGACTTTCGTGAATGCATGTGGCTGCAGCCGGGCCCAGATTCAGTTGAAAAAAATATAATACCAGTGTGAATATGCCTTTACTCGCCATCAACAGTGAGTTTACCGGAAGAAATGCAGTTATGGCAGCCACAATATCTCTTGCTTGGATCACGCATTCGATCCACTGGAGGAACGGGCCCAGGTTCAGTTAAAAAAATTCCCAGTGTGAATATGCTCCCCAAGAATAGATTGGAGCAACCAGGAGCCCGGCTAGAAGGGGGTGCTGCTCATATCACCCACCCCTCCTAGTGCGGCAGTGTGGTTGAAAAAAAAAAAAGAAAAAAAAAAAGGCCTTTACTCGCCATTCGCAGTGAGTTGTAGTAATGGCAGCCACGACATCTCTTGGCTGGATCACTCGTTCCATCCAGTGGAGGAACGGGCCCAGATTTCAGTTGAGAAAATACAGCGTGAATACGCCTTTACTCGCCTTTAAGGCTTTAACAGAGAGTTCACGAGAAGAAGGTAGTTATGGGAGCCAAGACATCACTTGCTGCTTGGATCACTCGTCCGCTCCAGCGGGACGAACCTCGCAGCTTGCATCCATCGCCATGGCTGAAGAAGACGTCTTCGTCTTTCGCATGGCTCAATACAGGGCTGGAAAGTCTAGGAAATATCTAGGACAGGACATGACATGTTCCCAAAGTACATAGCCGGCTGTCGAAGAGTCCAGTGTTGTTGAGCCAACAGAAGAGACAACATCTTCTGCACTTTAGTAATGGCTATTTGGGTCTGACTGCATCTTCACAAGCAACGAAACCTTTGAAGCAGCAACAGGATTCGAACTGCGACACTGCTGCTTCTTATTGAAACACCACTTCATTGCTCTTTAATTTGTTTAACATACGCCGCTTATAGGCCTCCGCTGGGCCGCAACTCGATACAAAGGGGATCAATCCCAACCTTGAAGGTAGGCCAGATGGATGGGAGAACAGCAGGATTGGAGGAGGGACAAGGAGGGAGGTAGGGCGTGAAACAAGTGGCACTGGAGAAGCCACCACTTGCAGATTAGTAAAATGACAATAACCGATTCAAGGCGGTAGCAGCAACCGACCACGAAGAGCGGGAACTTATTGACGCGATTTTGAATTTTCAGACATTCCACGAAGACTTCGGCAAGCAGGGGACGATCAACCTCTTGCGGGTCGATCGCAGATTATAGGGAAATGCCCCTCGGGGTGCAGACTCAGAGAGAACAGAGATGAAACCAAAATCAAATCGATCGACCTATCTGATTATTAATGCGTTAGATACCAAACGCCAAACACTACGACAATGGTCACAACCATCCCCGCATAGACCAGCCATCTGTCCCAGAACTGCCTCCTCTCAGCCATCCTCAACAATGAGCTTGACAGTCCAACAGTATTCAGCATATCCAAAGCTTTGCGTTGTGCACTCTGCGATCAGTAAATCAACAAACAAACAAACCAACCAGAATCCCCCCTACCACGTTCCCAGACGCACATCCCACAAACGACAAATGTAAAATGGTGTGAGAAACAGGAAAGAAACGGACAGGACACACACACACACACACACACACACACACACACACACACACACACACACACACACACAGAGCATCAGTTTTATGCATGCCTTTTTAGTTTCGTTTGTCATTCTTCCTGTTTTTACTGTCTGTCCTACTGGTATTTTGTCATACACTTTGTGTGTACTGCTGAGCACCTTCACGTAGTGCCAATTAGTCGGTCATTCCTCGTTTGGAGTGGCTGCAGCAGTCTTGGCTTAGGGAGTCCGCTCAGTTCGGGATGTCTGTGTTTTCCTGTGGGTGATGAGGGATGTTTGTCTGAGTAACTCCCTGGCTCAGCGGGTGGTGGGAACCAACAGTCTGCGGGGTTCACTCGTGATGCGAGTAGGTGATGTGTAGACTGCCTCCACTGCCTTGATGCCCATCCTGCTTGCTCCGCATGTTGTTCATTGCAAGCTGCTGTGTTCACGGTGTGGTGTCGCTGTGTTGTTGGTGATGCCTTGTGCTTCGCTGCTCTGCTGCCTTGCCGCCCATCCGCATGCGGTCGCTGCTTTTGCATTGCACTCGCTGCGCCCCAAATGTGGGGCCCTGTTGAGCGAAAACGAACTCAGGGGTCCATAACAAACTCATTGTACAAATACAGCGATTGCATGTTCGCACACGGAGCACTTCGGCAGTGGGTAGGTAAGGGACCACTCATTGGGATTCACGAAGCGAGGTGCAGATCCCTGAAGTTTCGCACGAGAAATCATTTAGGGTTTGGCTGGTGGAGGGTACAGAAGTCTTATAAGTTTTGTACGAAGAGGTTTTGCACTCCCTTCCATGGCCAACGATACGATCGACTTCGAATCTGTCATGAGTCCTGCGAGGAGTCATGAGGCGTCTTCTGGCAAACGGATCAGAAATCGTGAACGGAAGATTATGGAAGTCTGAAAGACTGCCTGCCTGCCTGCCGGCCTGCCTGCCTGCCTGGTTCTGCGAACGCAGACTGATATTAGTGAGTCTGGCGCTAATGATAATGATTCCTGACTCGTAAATAATGATGGACCACAGCCATCCATTAAGTGTCGTCCCTGAATACAATGATGCATGTTCCTTATAGGTGGGTATAAAGGGCAAGTTTGGGGCTAAGTAGAGCTATAATGGCTACCTCACACTTTTGGGGGATGACAGAAGTTCTGCTCTTCTTTCCGTGGCTCACTTGCAACACCCCATGTATGTGACATAACGGCCATCCCGTCACTTCTGAGGGAAGACGGCAGTTCCGTTCTTCTTTACGTGGCACACGTCAAAATTACAGCGAGATGTCTGCTACCGTCTTCACCCGAATAGAACGCCCGGTCAGTATAGCCGTATTTGGTGCAACTTTCAGTCTAGAATACGGTGACAATGACCGGGTGTTCTATTCGGGTGAAGACGGTAGCAGAGTGAAACTGTGTGTCTGTTACAATCGTGGCAAGAATGATTAAAACCCACCTTCAGTCTCTCCCTTTGCTCAGCATATGACTGAAGGACTTGTGTTCCCGTGCGGAAGGCCTCATCCAGCTTCTGGTGTGAGTTATGCACATGTCCCCTCATTTGGCTCTCCTCGTCATACTCGTCACCATGCTGTCGTAGAATGCGCGCCCCTTCTGCCTGTTCATGTCCCACACATAGCCACAACATATAAGCATATGCATCCCAGTCCAAGAAAATTGCCCACATCAGGCACACACACCACATCTGCCCCAGCCCACCCGCCCACCCACCCACACACCCACACACACACACATACACGGTCACTTTTAGGCTCGGCAATATGCATTTCTTGGTTAGTCAATTTAGCGTTGGATGGGCTGGTGGTTTAAACCACAAGTACACGGCCCCAGCCTTGCAGTGCGAAACTTGTCGTCACAAGAAAACAGGGCCGAAACATCAAACGCTGGGCCCGCCGTTGATAAATTCGATCGGCGGCCCTGTTTTCATTTCGCGCCTCGAGAATTTGAGGTGTCAGACCCGCGGCCCAAGTGGCCACGTACTGGTGCTTTAAGGCCCGACTAAGTGTGAGTGGGCCAAACACCGAGCGCTGTACCTTAGACACATCGTAGATGGATAGATGGAGACGGAGTACAGCCAGAGGACAAGAAGATTGCAGCAAACATGAGAGACCGCCCCACACCCAAGGATCCAGTTGAACTGCGTTGCGTTCGTTCCTAAGCTTGGCCAAACTACTACAGGAAATTTGTAACGAACTTCACACCGATCGCAACAGCATCGCTTATCAGACAATTTCAACAACAACAACCACAACAGCACCACTAATCAGACCGTTAACGAAGCTCTGTGGTTATGAGATAAAGACTGCAATTCGTCATTCAAGAAGTTGCCCGGTCCTAAAAATTGCAGACCCTTCCCTACCTCTCATCATCACTGCAGATGCTAGCCAGTATGGGATAGGGGCCGTCTTCAATTCGTCCCGAACACAGCATACGATCTTCATGATACTGTGCTCTCTGATTGTATTTGATCTAATGAATGCAATAGACAAATATTCATTTCAATTTTATTGCATTTCCGCCAGGGTTGCACCGGCGCCGACTGCCGACCCCGACCGCCGACCGTTTTGTCCCGGCGGATCGGGGCTGACCGGTCGATGGTCCGCCGACCAGTCAGAAAACAGGCATCCTCTGCTTTTTTTTTTTCCCTGATTGGGCAGCCTTACTGCGCTTGCTGAGTATAGCCCAAATCCGCAGAGAAAGTTTTTGGGATGGGGGAGGGGTATGGGGGGTTGGGGTTGGAGCATACCTGCTGCGCAAGTGTGCTGGTCACCGATGGGCTAAAAAAAAAAAAAGAAAAAAAAAAAGTAAACAAATAGCTCCTTATTAATATTTATTTCAAACCCCCTGCGGGTTATCCGAGAGGGCCCTGCACACAATCAGGAAGGGCCCCGTTGCCATGAACGAGGTAGTAGTCATAGCCATGCTGAAGGTATGGCACGCCAAGTATATATCCTGTTGATTCACTTTAAGGTCCGCGTTTCAGCAGTTATGGGACCACTGAGCACGCAAGTTTCTGGGCAATAGCAGGCCTACTCACCACGTGCTTTTCAGGGCTTCCCTCCACTAAAAATGTGCAAAATGAATCTTCTGCTAGAACATGGAACCGAACGCCGCCATATGTTTTGTCTTTTGTGCAAGTGGTGACGAGTGAATCAAGGCCCTTAGGGCCACTTGTCGTAGGAAAAAGAAACAAAAGAAATAAAGCAAAGGAATGAATCTTCTGCTAGAACATGGAACACATACGCCGCCATATGTTTTGTCTTTTGTGCTGGTGAAGAGTGGAGCAAGGCCCTTAGGGCCACTGCTCGTAGGAAAAAGAAACAAACGAAAGAGAGAGCTACGGTGATAAGTTGTTGAAACTTGTAACCCATAACTGCTCGAAAGCAGACCTGACTTTGGATCCAGAGCATATATTGCTGGCCTGCTCTTCTTTCATACGAAATTTGCTGAACGTACCCCTGCATATGTACTGCTGGGGTCCTCCGCGAAAAAGGCTATTTAAAAAGGAATACGTGGGCCCTATGTTTTTTTCTGTGGGGAGGTGCGCCATTGGCTATCTCAGCCAGCCTTCTCCAAATTTTTTTTATGTACCCTATTTAGCGGGGTGCGTCGCATCACGTGCGCGGGCATGCTTACACGTGCGTTATGCGCCGTGCGTGCGGAGCTTGCGCGCACGCGATGCGACGCAGGTATGGGTTGGAGTATAGGTGGAGTGTAGGGGTGATATAGGGAATATTGGGGGCGTTAATAAGGATGTTGGGTGTGGTTCGGGAGTGTTAGGTTGGTGTATGCAGGTATTGGTGGCCGCTATGGGGGTGTGGGTGGGGTTATTAGGGGTTCTGGATCCCCAAAAAAAAAAAAAAAAAGGTGCGGGGTGCCGACGATCCCCGACTGCTAGGTGCCGACCAGCCGATCGGTCGGCGGGTCGGCAGCGGACCAGTCAAAAGGCCGCCGACCGTCGGGGTGTGCAACACTGATTTCCGCCATACTTCTATACACTCTGAGATCCTTTATGTCTTGAAAATTCTCACCTTGAAATGAGAAAAACGTTCCATTGTACCACAAACCCTACGAAGAAATAAGAGTGAATTAATGGTTCCTGATGTTACTTAGTTTTTTGTAGCAACGCCATGGTAGATGTATTACCCCATGGTAGATGTATTACCCTGTACAATTAATGTCCCAACGGTTGCCCAAAAAATGAAGTAGCAGACTCTGTGAAGCAATGTGGACACGACAACAGCAGACACTTCAGGGTTTATTCTTTCAGACCATGAGACGCTACGTTGGCTAGCGACGCAGTCTGGAATTCTCTAACTAAGCGGGCTCGGTGGGCATGAGAGAGATGAGTTCAACCACACAAAAAAAGTAGCAGACTCTGTGAAGCAATGTGGACACGACAACATCAGACACTTCAGAATTGATTCTTTCAGACCATGAGACACAACGTTGGCTAGCGACGCAGTCTAAGAAACCAGTAAACACACACACACACACACACACAAAAA